TCTGTTCTCTGCCCGGCTCATCTCTCTAGACACCGTGCTAATGAGCCCAGCTGTGTGTGAACATCAGCGAACCATTTATCGGAGCTTACCAGGGCTTTGCTGGAAGAGGTGTGTTCAGCTATAATTCAAATTATTCAAACCATCTCTCAAAACCACTCAGCTCTTTTTCCCACCTTTCATCACATCCCCCCACCCCCTCGATCACTTTATCCTGCTATTGCTGGCTGTCGATCATTCGGTTTTTCTTTCTTCCTCTCTGATGGAGCTTCTACTCAGCGTTGTTCTTATCGGTAAATCTCATCTGAGACATCTGAAACTGTTGGTGGACTTTGAAAACCCCATTTACGAGAACTTCAAACCATCATGGCAAGATTAATATCGAAAAATAGATTTTAATAAGATGACAGAAAAAGATATCTGTCTCCATCCTTCATTTGACAGCGAGTCTGATTTGTTTGGAGCAACTGAATTTTCATTTATTAAACATATAAACATTACAATATATTAATTTCATTATATATTGGATCATTTCCATCCAAATAAAGTCCTAAAACGTCAAAGTAAGATGGATCCTGAATAGTTGTAAATAATGTTTCATATCTCAGAATTTTTCCTCCCTTTAAAAAGCACTTAACATGACAGGTGTTTTCATTACACTTCTTAACCTTCATTATGTTACGCATGAAGATCCTAAGAGGTAATTAATTTTTTATATTTTATATTCTGGTTTGTCCTTCAGGTTTAATAACCTTCTTTTCAAGCTGTTTTCACCTGTTTGAAGAGCAAACAGGTGCTCCCTGACAAACAAATGGAGACGAATGTCTGTGAGGACAAGGTTTGTGCCTGTGCTGAAAGCTCCGGCAGACGGATGGGTAAATTGTCTCGCAAGAGCATAGATGTGAAGTTATTCTCTTTGATTCTCTCTTGCACCGGTCGGTGCATCAGTGGAGATGTGGCAAATATGTGCAACATTAAACCTTTACGTGGATCAAATGCTGAACAAAAGAAATGAATGGTTTATAGATTTAGTTTAGTGAGATGCTTAATTTACAAAAGAGGAAGAAGAAAGGTTTTCGAGTCAAAAAAAAAAATTCTCAAGTTTATCAGCATTGAGACCAAATGTAAGCCATTCATGGGCATAAAACATGCTGTAGATTAGCATTCTGGTCAGCCTGAATATCAAGGTTACACCTGTGTTTCTCTTGCTGAAACCTAGATCTGTGTTTGTATGAAAGCTGATCCCCAGTCAGTTGTGGTCGACCACCGCGGTATTGGCTTCTCGTCAGACATTTGTTCTCAGATCAGATTAGTAGGGAAAAGCGTCCTCCCTTAGGAACTAATGGGGTTTTTATCTCTGCGGTAAGGTATGTGAAGCTCGCTCCACTATCAAAGGCACCCCTAACTTGTTATATGACCCATCGCTATCTAACACACATACCCACTTTCAGATACGAGAAGTAGTTCCCTGAAAACTATGGACACACTCTCACAAACATCTCACTACGGTCTGATTAGGCTCAAAGATTCTCACCCATTGTCCTTGCTGTTGTAACCATGGTTACATTTTATATTTCTGTGGTTTTAGATTGTTCTGTTTCACTCCCTACAACAAACCTACTAGAGCTACTAGATATTGTATACACATTGCTGTAATCTCTCCAATAAAGGAACAGTTCACTCAAAAATGAAATTTCTGTCATAATTTACTCGTTCCAAATCCTTATGACTTTATGGGGGGGAGGGGGCCCCTCTTCTCTTTTTCCCCATACAACCAAATCTAGCGATCAGGGACTGTCAAGTTGCAGAATGATTATTAGTGAACAATGACCTTCTGTCTGTTCCTCACAAAATGTGCGGATGGATGGATGGATGGATGGATGGATGGATGGATGGATGGATGGATGGATGGATGGATGGATGGATGGATGGACGGACGGACGAACGGACGGACGGATGGGTTAGGATGGATGGTTGGATGGATGGATGGGTTAGGAAGGATGGATGGATGGATGGATGGATGGATGGATGGATGGATGGACGGCCGAACGGACGGACGGATGGGTTAGGATGGATGGTTGGATGGATGGATGGGTTAGGATGGATGGATGGATGGATGGATGGATGGATGGGTGGGTTAGGATGGATGGGTTAGGATGGATGGATGGATGAATAGGTTAGGATGGATGGGTTAGGATGGATGGATGGATGAATAGGTTAGGATGGATGGATGAATTGGTTAGGATGGATGATGGATGGAAGGATAGGTTAGGATGGATGGATGGATGGGTTAGGATGGATGGATGGATGGGTTAGGATGGATGGATAGGTTAGGATGGATGGATGAATAGGTTAGGGTGGATGGATGGATGGATGGGTTAGGATGGGTTAGGATGGTTGGATGGATGGGTTAGGATGGGTTAGGATGGTTGGATGGATGGGTTAGGATGGATGGATGGATGAATAGGTTAGGATGGATGGATGGATGGGTTAGGATGGGTTAGGATGGATGGATGGATGGGTTAGGATGGATGGATGGATGAATAGGTTAGGATGGATGGATGAATAGGTTAGGATGGATGGATGGATGGATGGATAGGTTAGGATGGATAGGTCAGGATGGATGGATGGATTTAGATAGACAGAGTCTGACAGACCAACGTACGCTATATATCAGGGGCCGTCCACACCATGCACAATATATCGTTCTGAAAGGGATTTCAACAATATTGTTTCTTTGTGCCGTTAACGCCACAGTTGTGGTGTGGAATCTGCTATTCTTTTAGATTTAGAACGACTTTTTTAGAACTATTTCTTTACCTTTATCATTTTAGTTTTCGTCCTTGGTTTGAACAAGCCTTAACTCTCTGTACTTCTCCAATTCCCCTTTGGTCTTTCATTTTTATCATCTTTTGTCAAAGTGTTGTGGTCGGTCTCCCTGCATTTGTCATTGATACAGCTCTGTTTGATATTGATCAACAAAAGCTCAAAACCCACAAAGAAACAGATGTACTGAAAGATTCCCAAAGCAGCCAAACAAGCACAACCATCAACTTCAGCTCTAAAGTATTCATGAAAGCACAGATCCTAATGTGTGTGTTCATGCCACTACAACATGTTTTTCTGCATTACTCCAACAACTACATGTTTAAACTGCAACACAAATGCTTTAACCTGTTTAAATAATGGATCAAATCAAGCCCAGATGCATCACACTACAAAAACAGATCAATCATGCCGCCTCACTTCACAGAGAGTGTTAAGTGCCTGGAGATGGAGGCAGTATCAAAAGTTACATTTATTAGTATTGATGAACCAATAAAAATACTTCTAACACATTTCTGACAACATGGTCCAGAAGAGCATTTTTGAGCCAATCGCCTGAGCTGTAAAAATATCACGTGACTCTTGAGTCATAAGAAAATTACATCATGACAATGCTGGCACTACAAAAACATACATGGCCGGTTTCACAGACAGGGCTTAAGCTGGTGCCAGACTAAAATGGATGTTTGAGCTGGTTTAACTGAAAGCAACCTGCACGGACATATCTTAAAATATAACAGTCGCTGTTTACCACAGTTCTTCTAACCCTAATTGATAATTGATGGAGTGTGTCGCTTTTCATGTCTTTCACAACCATCTAGAAAGAGACATCGTGGCCATATAAATGTTATTTCCATCAAGAGGATATGCAACAGGTCCCAAAAATGTATGCACAAGTATCTTAAAGGAAACAAATGTTATTTCCATCAAGAGTTGCATACATTGTTGGTTAAAGGCATACTCCTCCCAAAAATGAAAATTTTGTCATCATTTACTCACCCACAAGTTGTTGCAAACCTGTATGAGTTTCTTTCTTCTGCTGAACACAAAGGAAGATATTTTGAAGAACGATTGGAACCAAACAGTTGTTTGGCACCATTGACTTCCATAGTATAATAAAAAAATGGGGTCCATCAACTGTATGGTTCCAATCGTTCTTCAAAATATCTTCCTTTGTGTTCAGCAGAAGAAAGAAACTCATACAGATTTGCAACAACTTGGGTGGAGTATCCCTTTAAGATCTTGTATTGACAATGCAAGTCAAGCACTCTGTAAATTTTACTCCAGCACATCCCAAAGAATTTCAATAAATTTATGGTCTGGACTCAGAGGTGACAATTCATGTGTGAAAATGATTCTTCATGCTCCTCCCAACCATTCTTTTACAATTTGAGCCTGATTAATCTTGATATTGTCATCCTGGAATATGGCCATGGTGTTTCTTCCTATACGGTTGTTTAAGAAATGTAAAGCAACACACTCCATCAATTAGGGTTAGAAGAACCGTTGCCAAACATATAACATGCTAGAAACATGATAATCACAGCAATAATGATCCAGCCATAGACTCTTAAGCATTTGGCTATTTAAATTCAAACAGCGACTTTTTTGATCGAGCAGTGTAGATTAAATATATAAATACAACAATATACAAATAAACAAATAAAACTGAAATAGGAATCAAATAGAGAGCTGAATTGTGAATCAAACCGATACTCAGCCCTAATAGAGAAAGATGCTAATAATGGAGTTTAAATCTAGTAGGGACATTCTGGCTAGCCAAACCTTGACCCCATGGATGCTTTACAATACACAAGAAAACCATTTTCATAAATTATATTGAGATATTTGTTGGAATTGTGTTTGCCGGTACTTATTGATGACCATGATTATTCAATTTTCAAATGAATTTCTAAACTATTCTGACTAATTAATCTCAAGATCAAAGCCACTGAGCTTTTGGCACTGGCATGAAGAGAGGATTTGGATGTATTCAACTTATGTTTGCTGCAGAACTGCATCACTGGAAAGAACAGGGCTGATAGCGCTGGTTAGAGAAAACACAGACTCTCTTGTTCTGCCCTGGGTCTCTGAATCAGGGCCAAAGCCCTTGGGGGAAAGAGGGCAGCATGTCCTCTGGCTCCTCTGGATAAAGTAAATAAAGTTTTATCTCTTACCTGTCTCTCAAAAACTCCAAACTGCCTGGCACAAATCCAGTGAGCACTCCTAAGGCATAAGAGGCAGCAGGGGCTGACCTAATCACTGTGGAGACGCTGTCTAACAGATGGCATTATGGGATGTGGAGAGAGCAGGGGGATTTGTCAGTGTGCTGCTTGTTTTGCTCCCGGCTGATTCTGAAGGTGTTACTTTCGGGAAGCTGATGATCTGGGAGTGGTGGAGAGGAAGAGAGAGAGAGAGAGAAGAGCTATTCATGCTGGAGCCTTAAGCATAAAACCCCAGAAATCTATTGGACTGAATCTTATGTATTAATGAGTATGGACTTATGACTTAAGTTCAGGTGGTGGATCATACTATGAAACAGTGGTTTAAAATTTAAACTCTGGGTTTAGATGTTCTGGGTTGTTCACCCTACCGTTCACCCTACCTAGGCCACATTTACACTGAAAAGATAACTTAAACACAAACTTAAAATAAACTTTATATTAAAGTTTTAGGGTGTTTTCACATCGAGCACACTTTAAAGATGGGATTAAACATACATTTTACGTAAATACAAGTGAAGCGACTTCTCGACCTCTTGAAAATGTAGAATAGGGTTACACTTTATTTCAATAGTCCACTTTAGACATTCTATTAACTATAAGTAACTTTGCAACAACATGCCAACCTACACTCAGAGTATTGGTAGACTGTAGTAGACAGTTAGTAGGCTGTTAGGTTAGGGTTCAGGTAAGTTGGCATGCAGTTGCAAAGTTACTTATAGTCAGTAGAATGACTTTTGGGGGGCCATCATAATAAAGTGTTAGCAGACAGTCTACTAATATTCTAATGAGAGTTGCAAAGTATGTCTGAAGTAGACCATTCAAATAAAGTGTTACCTAGAGATATAGTGTATCATTTTGGAATGGAGTTTGAATGGCAGTGATCATGCAACTGACGCCACGAGTCACTTGACAATGACAACACTGGGAATTGATTACATCTGGATTTTATATAGAACATACTAATTAATGACCTCAATTAAATTTATTACCTATAAGACACAATTTTGAATGCAGCTTATGTAATTGTTCTTAGAAACTTAAGAGGTCAATAGACATTTCCTTGAATACAATGAAATTGAAGGTAAAACAAAAATTACAAAGAAACTCCAAGCAACACACTGAATTAAACGTGAAATTCTGAAGTAATTGTAACTTGTAAAACATACTCGAATCTTTATTCTATTTACAACTTTAAAAATCGTTTTAATGTAGTTATCATTGATCAGTGCGTTGAATTGAGCAAAGACAAGCAAAGTGAACGCATAACGGTTTAGTATCCTGGTCCAGCAGTCATAATGAGTTTTCTCATTTTAAAGACAAGAATGAGTAGTCATGTAACAATGACAAAAAACAAAACAAGCATTCATGACTAAGACAAGAATCAGATGGGGTGTATTTATGCTTAGAAGGTCAGATTCCAAGATATCACATATTGGATTGAATCAGATGCTAATTGTAATTGATTACCATGTAAAAAAATGCTGATCAATAAACTAAAACAAAATAATAATAAATTCAGTATTTCACTTCTGTAATAATTTAGCTAGTAATTGATTGAAAATAATGTGGCTTTTACGATAAATTCCTTGCAATGTTCCTTATTTGCAAACAACTTTGGTTAAATGCTTATGCTAAATGAATAAATGTTTAAGCTAGTGCTGGTCTCGATCATTAATCATTATAGCCATGCTGTTCAACCATTTGGTGGGAAAGTTAGTCTCACTCCTTAAAGGTCCCGTTCTTCATGTTTTTTTGAAGCTTTGATTGTGTTTACAGTGTGCAATATAACATGTATTCATGTTTCGCGTGTAAAAAAACACAGTATTTTTCACACAATTTACTTATCTGTATACCGCTGTTTCCACTGTCCAAAAAACGGCCCGATGACTTCCCTACGATGACGTTCTATAAAGTCCCTCCTTCAGATATACGTAACGAGTTCTTAATGTGCCAGAGGTTCCTGTGTTCTGATTCGACAGCAGCTTATCGCACGTTGCCCGGAAAGGTCACGCCTCTTACCATAAATTGGAGATGCATGCGCTGATTGTTATTGTAAAAATGTCAAACATATTACCTTATCAATTTGAGCCGGAATCAGACCCGGAGAACATAGATGAAGAGAATCGATTAGAACCTGTTTAAACACGACTTTTGCTGGATGTTTCACAGTGGTAACTAAGCTGTTTATTTAGTAGTTGTCATACTTTTAATCGGTTAAATTGTAATGTTAAATGTTAGAAACCGTTATAAAAGCATGTGGTATGTGGTTTTGTCCATCTGTCGAATTAACGATGGTGTTGTTGAATTTTTAAAATAAGTCCATTTTTTATTCCTACCTTAGTTACACGTGTGCACGAGTTTTGATTAGTACTATATGTTTTATAGGTGTACATGTGGTAACTGTGACAAAATGCCAACGGAGGTTGAAAACATCTGCTGCAAAGAAACACAAAAAGTACTGTAACACCTCCTAATTAAATCATTTTTTGTTGTGTATAGTTCTTTTGAAATTGTTTTCATCCAAACAACTTTATATAAATACACTTTATTTTTACCATGAATATGGCCTTAAAAGCTGCCATGTTGTGTAAAAGAAATTGTTGCCATGCATTACAATAATTTATTTATTAAAAGTTGAATGTTACGTGACTGCACATTAAAATTTTTACTGCCTCACATCAATATATAGGTTTGTCGACGAATGATGCAGATTGCAGACCCTCCTACATGTATGGTTCATCATCCGGGCTTTGCTTAAACTCATATACCTTACAAAACATAGATAATCTTTATCGAAATAATATTTGCGAATCCGGCATTAAACTGATTGAGATTGAGGAAGCTGTCCTCGGCAAAATGTGCTGCACATAGTTTTAATTGTGGATTATATTTTTCGGGAACCGAGTTAAACATAAATTGTAACCATTGATCTCTAAGCACAGCGTCCCTGGGAAGGCCAAACAAAGGTGAATTGACTCCGGCATGAAAATAACAGTGTCTCGACGACATGGCGACAAACACACTATATAAACAAAACTCTTCCTCTTCTCCGTGGGAGCGCAACAAGACCACGCCCCCTTTTTTGTGTATTCCTGTGGGCGGAGATTAGTCAAAAAACTGTTCTTACATCATTAAAAAAGGAAGTAGAGGGATGTAGTCCAAACCGCCCATTCGCTGTAGGCTTTGAAAGGGGACTTCTGTTAAATAAAATATCTCGCTAGGCATTGAACTTTGAGCTTTATAATTTTACAGGTATTATTTATGCTCTAACAGCAACATTACACACTAACTAAAGTTTGAAAAATGGAATCGCGAATTACGGTACCTTTAAGCTTGTTAAAAACTCTTGTAGTGGCACCTGTACTGTATTCATCAGCCAAAACTCATATATCCAAGACTTTTCAACAACTCAGTGCTCATTTTTGATTGTCTGCCACATTAGCATCCATGTATGTATCTGCCATTTTCTTTGCCTGACTCCATTAGTGATGGCTGTATATCTTTGACTCCATATTGACTTTCTTTCATCTTCTGGAGGAAACTCTATAGCTGTAGATTACAGGCTGACCCTAAGGCTCCCTGCTCAACAAGAGAGAGAGACTTGTGCCAGCTGAAGGAATAAGACACGCACGCGCACACACACACACACACACACACACACACACACATGAAAGTCAATGACAGGATGAGAAAATGCTGTCATGTTTCTTACAGTCTAAAAGTGTCCAAAGCATTCACCCAAGCACATGTTCTTTCACCCACTCAACACCCTCCTCTTTCTCTCTCTCACACACACACTCAATTATACACGTGCGTATGATCACACAAGAATGAGTAAGTCCCTGCTCTCTGGAGACGAGCGGTTTATCGACTTATCACTGCTGACTGACGCAGCTCTCCTTCTTTCTTTCTCTCATATTCCAGTACATTTAAACAAACTTATTGTCCTTTCTTTGAAAGACAAGCCTCCTCTAAACATCTGTTTCACAGCGAACATCACAGGTGAGCTACATCCATGTCTCTACAATTACTGAGAAAACACACACCCTGAAGAGACCAACAGGAGGGAGGATTTACACCGTAGGATCATTTTCTGTCTGAATGCAAAAGCGTGCCGTGTGTGAGGTTTTACCGTCCAATTCGGCGCTACCTGGGCTCCATGTCCAGACACCCAATACCTCGCGTAGCTCGGATGGGCAGGTAGGAGGGGAAGTGGAGTCGATCAATACACTTGTTAAAGATTGCAGATAATGAAAATATGGGAAAAATATATTCCCCACCATCAATTTTTGATGAGAAGAAAGCCCATGGATACAAAAAATCCCAAAAGAAGCAAATGTAGAAATAGTATACTGGATAAATAATTGAATGAGTATCTTCATTGATTTGTAGTCTTATTTAGTTTTCATTGTCTTCAACTCTTTTTTTAAAGGCTAAAACATTAGATCCGAAGGTCATAGTTGTGCATCATGTGTTTGCATTCAATTATGTTTCTATATATGTAAGGCAAGCTGTCAATAGTCTTAAAAGGATAGTCCACCCAAAAACTTTGTCATTATGTACTCACCCTCATATCGTTCCAAACATCAATGACTTTATGCGGAAGAAACAAGAAGATATTTCGAAAAATGTATCATTGTTTTTTCATCCATATAATGGTCAATGGGGTCCAAAACAACCCTGAACTATACTGACTATCATATGGAGAGAAAAAAGTCCTTTCACACTGCGCTTAACCCCGGGTTGTCGTCTTTCTTAACCCTGCTTTTCACGGTTCAAACTTGTAATTTAAAAGGGGAGTTAGCACCGCTTTTGAGGTGTTAACTCCATATTGCGATCCCAAAATTGTACAGTGTGAAACGATGTGGTGTTAGAATGTTACAACTAGATGCTTAGCTAACGACAACCAATCGCGTGCCTTATATTCACATGCTTTAGGCAGTCACGAAAACACTGCGCGATGCAGTCGTCTCTGCGTTTGGTAGAAAAAATGTCAAATGTCAATGGAAAGTGCGACAATTGGCGTGAAGAAGAGAAAGTTTCATTCTCACCTTTATACGGTTGTTCGAAAAATTAATTCAGAAAAACACTTGATATTACAGTCAGCAATGTGTAATATGAGGACGCGCAGTGCAAGAGCCTTTATGTAAACAGGT